CAATCCCCAGCACCACATGCCAGCCAGCCCCGCCCCCTGGTGGGCTGAGGGCTGAGCTGGCCACACACACACACACACACACACACACAAAAAAAAAAAAAAAAAAAAAAAAAAAAAAAAAAAAAAGAAATCTGCTTCCAAAAAAGAAAGCTAATTTTTAAAATGCAAAACTGTCTGGACATGGTGGCACATGCCTGTGATCCCAGCACTCAGGAGGCTGAGGCAGAATTGCCATAGTTCTGAGGCCAGACTCCGCTACAGAGTGAGTTCAAGTCTGGCCTGAACTACAGTGAGACCCTGCCTCAAAAAAAAAAAAAAAAAATCAGGAAGCGAGCAGACCCTGCATCTGTCAATATTGAGACGCCCACCCTCACTCAGACTTCGTATGGCTATCAGCATGGGCATGTGTGTTCAAACATTCTCTATTTGGCAGACAGGATATGCGACCTTCTCGTATACAATGCTCCACAGAGCAAAGGCAGAGCACCCCGCCAGCTTCTTACAGTGAAACACACATTGAGGCCCTCCCTCTATTTTAGAAATTTTTTGGTTATTTTTGAGATAGGGACTCGCTAATGTAACTGTTGCACTGAGGTGACAACGACCCTCCTGCCTCAGCCTCTCTAGACCTGGAATTACACATGTGCACAGCCACGTGGGGCTTAGACCCTTTCTCTAGCCAGGACTTTATCCATGTCCTGCTACTGATTTTTCTATCACTATAATCTCAAATTTTAATGCCTCAATGAAGAGATGGGCCCACTGGCCAGACCACGACCATATCTAGTAATCTATTTTATTTATTTATTTTTTTTATGAGCAGAATATATTTATTGAGAGAAAGAAAGCTCCTGTCCCGAGAGAGGAACAGGAGGGGGCCCGAGCGGGTGGTTCCCCCCATCTAGTAATCTTTAAAACAAGGTACAGAGAAGACAAATACCAAGTGAAAGGAACAGATCTATAGAGAAAACAGAAGCTTGTTTTATGCGTTTCTAGGGTGCCAGCGAATGGTGAACATGGAAAGGAAAAGGCCTCACACTGGAGGGGGAATAAGACAGCCCCTGCTGGGCTTTCAAGAGCTCTTTGCAACTTCACTACCATGAACCCAACACACCGCCCCAAGCTCTTCCGTAACTGGCGTTCAGAGCTTTAATTAACGGAGGCTAGGGATTTGCTCCTGCTCCGCCATGCTGGCCTGGCAGCCAGCAGCTTTCCCTCCTGCTCTCCGTGCTTGCCCTGCACAATTAGCACCTCATTAGAGCCGGCCGCTCTTCTAATTACCACAGGGCTCAATTGAGCTCTTTCTTTTATTGTCTTGTTCCTGCACTAGTTCAAGGGTTCCCCAGCTATAATAAATCCTACTTCCTTGCAGGCAGGTGTTCAGGGTTTCCAATCTCCTCAGACCCATGAGGACACTCCAGCAACCACAGGCAGGCACACATTTCCTGGCAGGAGAGCCACTTGCTGACCATCCTGGGAGTACAACCCAGGGCCGGGCACTGGCTCCCCGCACATACCTCTGCGCACCAGATCCACAGGCTCACTGTGCTGCTGCCGAGCTTGCCTCTTAACTGGGGGGCTACATGCTACCCTCCTGTACATTACTTCTCTCTCTTTTTTAAGACAGGGTTTTGCTACACAGTTCAGGCTGGCCTTAAACTCACTATGTGGCCCAACCTGGCCTAGAATTCACAGCAGTCCTCCTGCCTCAGTCTCCAGAGTGCTGGGATGACAGGTGTGTACCACCATGCCAGGCTTTTTTCTTTATCTAACAGGATGGGCTGAAACAGATATGAAAAGATATGGGTGTCAGTTGGCAGCACATTCCACCTTCCTCTAGAAAAAGATTCAAGGGCTGGGAACAGACTCCAGCTTTTGGAATTAAGTCTAACCTTGGTTTTCAGGGCAGTGACCAATAGCACAGTGATAATACATTGGTGACTGAGATGGAGTGGGGGGAGGTGCAGAAGGGGACAGCCAGGAGGGAAGGTGTGGATGCTGGATGGAGGGATCTGAATCCTGGCTCTGCCATTTACTAGGTGGTTATGTTATTTGTGACCTTGCTCAAGGTATTGAATTGCTGTGCCTCAGTTTTCTAATCTATACAGCAGGCTTCAGAGTCCTTATAAGGACTCGATCTTTGTAAGGTGCTTGGCACATACTAAGAACTACAAACGGTGTTTAAGAAGATTAAGGCAGGATGGGGCTTCAGGACAGACACTTCTGCAAAACAGTATTTGCCCCAAGACTCTCAGTGATGGAAAAACAATGAGTTATGCAACAGCACACTGTCCCTGGCATCTTGATGATTTTTTTTTTTTCTTTTTTTGCGGAACCGAGGATTGAACTCAGGCCCTTGCACTTGCCAGGGAAGCGCTTATTCCACTGAGCCATCTCCCCAGCCCCAAATCTTGGTTTTTTGGGGGCTCTAATATGTTCTTAGAATTACTTCAATAAACTAAAAAAACAAAAAACAAAAAACTGAATTTATGGGTTTCAAAAACATCTAATACACTATCACGACAAGTGCTAAGAATGTCTTGGTGAAGAGTAGAATGATTAGTGAAGGTCCATTGTTTTCAGCAAGGAATTTAACACGATTCCTCAGCTGTTTGCATCTCTATAAACCTACTTAGCCTAACACACAAGACAACACTCAACATTCTTCAGCAAGTACTGCAGACCCTTCTCCAGTGAGGTTGTTTTTGTCACTTCTTAGATGGTTCAAATACACCTCAATACTTTCAGCAAATCTTTTCTTGTTGTTTTGAGTCGGGGTCTCACTACATAGTTCAGGCTAGCAATGGATACACTATGTAGCCCAGGGTGGCTCAAACTGGTAACATTTCCACCTCAGCCTCCTGAGTGCTGTGATTTTAGGCCTGCACCATCATGCCTGGCTGTTCTATACTTTAAATTGTTACTTTTTTGTCACTTTTGCAGTGCTGGGGGATTAAATCCAGGCCTTCACACATGTTAGGAAAGCACTCTACCACTGAGCTACCTCCCTATCTCTTCCATATTTTCAAAAACATACAGAAAAGCTTTTTATAAAAATAACTCTAGGGCTGGAGAGATGGCTCAGTGGTCTAAGGCACCTACTTAGAACAAGCTCAACAAAGCACAGGGACCACCGTTGGATCCCCCAGCACCACATGCCAGCCAGCCAGCCCTGCCCCCTGGTGGGCTGAGCTGGCCACACACACACACACACACACACACACACACACACACAAATAAATAAAATTTAAAAAAATAAAATAAAATAACTCTAGGCCAGGGAGATGGCTCAGTGGAATAAGCGCAGGCAACGGCCTGAGTTCAATCCCTGGTTCAGAAAAAAAAAAAAAAAAAAGACAAAAATAACTCTATGGAATACACTTTTAACAGCAACGAACAGAAAACAAAGAACTTCATGGTATCCAAACTCATTTTTTTCCCATGTCTCCTATGATCTTTCAATTTGCCGTCACCCTTAACAACCTTGGTTCTTTTAGACAACCTAGCTTTAAAATGCCACTTCTATTCTTTGCTTTCTCTGGCATGAGACACTATTTACAACACCAGGAGTTCTTCTGCCCCAGAGTCCCTCACACAGAACTGCCGTCCAGCCACACAAGGTATCTCTCTTTGCCACCCTTGGTAGGGCACATGCGCCTTCCTTAGGACAGGATCCCTTCCAGTCTCATGGCTCCCAATTCTATGGAGGCAGAGCCCAGCCCAACAAGATGTCTCCCCCTCAGGTACTCTGCAGAGAGCTATGTGGAGGCACAAGAGGTGGCTAACGTGGTTAGGTGCATCCTCTCTGTAACTTTCAGACACTGTCCAATTCCATCACACCCACTGATGGCACTGTACTAGTTCTGACCACCATGTTCTGCATCTCTGTTGACCTGAGAGTGTCTTTGGGTGGAAGCTGTGTTTTGCTCACTGGAGGGTTCCAAAGCTAGCAAAGAGCCCATCTATAGTACCCAATACGTAGTGATCTGCGATACTATATTTGAAGCCATTATTGGCAAAACACCTGCTTTTTCATGATTAAGGTGACAAGGATTACTTTTACTCTTGAGAGCAGGGAAGATTCCTCAAAACTCAAGAAAGCATTAGTTTTGCTGCATGCGCTGCTGTACACGTGTTACCCCAGCAGGCTGGGAGGGTGAGGCAGGAGGATCTCACATGTAAGCGCAGCCTAGGCAATTTATAGACTTAACAAGAGTCTATCTCACAATAAAAATAAGAACAAAAGGACTGGGGGGTCATTCAGCGCCAAAGTCCTGATTCAATCCCCGTACCAAAAAAAAAAAAAAAAGTGGAAGTTCCAACCAGTTTGGTTTAATGTTCCCCTCATTCATCTGCTTGGCTCCTTTAAAATTTGCATTGTACCCTGTCTGCTTCTCTTCCGCGGGCCCCTTCGGTGACCCCAGCTTCACCTTGCAGGTATCCTGTCTGGGTGTACGAGGCCCCAACTCCCACTGGGTGTCACTGGGCGCCACTGGGCGTTGCTCTCTTCCAGCAGCTCCTCAGCTCCGGGCGATCCCATCCACCTAGCCGGGGATTCCGGAAGTGCGGAGACGGCCCGGGCACCGCGCGCTTCGTGTCGCCAGTTACCCAGATCCTCCCCTCTTGCTCTCTCTGGGACCACGCTCCGACGACCACCGAAGCAAAGGGGCCTTGCGAGATCCTGCGCCCAGGTTCGGGGGAGGGAAGGGGGTCCACCCCTAGGGCGGAATGAGGGAGCTCCACACTGGGCCCAGACCCTTCCCATCCGGAGTGACCTAAACCGGCTTCGTCGCCTCATCTCCTTCACCATCCCAGGGACCCAGGAAATGGCCCATCCAGTAGCCTCCCCGGGAGCGGGGGTCCTCTCCTCTCCCCCCCCCCTCTGCCCCTGTTACTCCAACCCCGGCTCCGAGCACCTGCACCCCGCGTCCGCACCCGCGACGGCCCGGCCTCCCGCCTCCCGGGCTCCGTCACCCGGCCCAGCTTTCCTCCTCACTGACCGCGAAGCCGGTGGCAGTTCCCAGTCCCAGACCCCCGGTGGGGCTCCCGCCGCTGCCGCCGCCGCCGCCGCTTTCCCCCGTCGTCCCCGCGTCTGGCCCTGGCCTCGGGCTGCGGCGATGACTCCTCGCCACGAGGCGCCGCGGCTCGCCGGGCTCCGCCACGCACCCGGCGGCGCGCAGGAGAAGCCCATGGAGATCCCGGCGCTGGCTGCGGCCGCGGCTACAGGAGCGGCCGCGGCGCAGGTTGATGACGTGAGGTCGCGTGCGCGGCGCGGGCGAATGACGTGTGCGCGCGAAAGGCTGAGCAGTATGGCGTCTGTGTCGCTGAGCGAGGCGGAGAAGGTGTACATCGTGCACGGCGTGCAGGTAGTAGCTGCAGCGGCGGTGGACCGGGTTGTTCCGGGTCTGGTCGGGGTCGCGAGGGCCCTCAGGTCGCCAGACAAGAGCGTCCAGGCCGCTGCGAGACTGGGCTGGCCTTGAGACACCGGCGCGGCGTCCGCGTGTGCCGCCCCAGTCCGACCGACGGCGAGGGGCTTTTAGGCTCTGGGAACGAGGGTACCTTCCGGGTTGGTGACCTAGCAGCCGTTCGGGTGGCTGAGATTCGATCCTCGGCCTGCAGCAGTGGGAGCCGCTGGGGCCGTCCCTTAGTGCGCTCGTCCCCGGGGCGCGCCTTCAGCCTTCGCGCCCTCCTCAGGCCGAGCTCGGTTTTCTTCAGCTTTTCCTCATCTCGTGTTGGGGAGGCGCGGAGACAGTGGTGCCTTTCGCTATCACGTCATGACCTGTCACCCCCCCCCCCTTAAATGTGTTTGGTACAAATTCTCACCATGCAGCTAAGCCTCGTAGTGATCCTCCTGTTTTCAACCTCCCCAGGGCTGAGATTACAAGTGTGTGCCACAGTGCCTGGTCTTCCCAGCTGGCTCAGTGCACCCAGGAGCTGGGCCAGAGCGGCATGTGGTGCTGGGGATCAAACCCCAGTCCCTGAATTTGCCCAAGCACGCGCTTGGTCTTCTGAGTTATGTCACACCCCACCCCCTTTTGGTTTTTAAGACAGGATCTCTCTAGTTAGTACTTGCAGTGATCCTCTTGCCTTAGGCTCCCAAGTGCTGCCCAGGCGAGTGCTGCCCTGCCAAGCAGCCCCTCTCTCTTTTCTTTTTTTAAATTTTATTTATGTGTGTGTGTGTGTGTGTGTGTGTGTGGCCAGCTCAGCCCACCAGGGGGCGGGGCTGGCTGGCATGTGGTGCTGGGGGATTGAACCGCGGTCCCTGTGCTTTGCTAAGCTTGTTCTAAGTAGGTGCTTTAGACCACTGAGCCATCTCACCAGCCCCCCTCTAACTCTTTTCTTTTTTTTTAATATTTATTTATTTTTATTTATTACATTTATTTATTGTGTGTGTGTGTGGCCAGCTCAGCCCACCAGGGGGCGGGGCTGGCTGGCATGTGGTGCTGGAGGATAGAACCGTGGTCCCTGTGCTTTGCCAAGCTTGTTTCAAGTAGGTGCTTTAGACCACTGAGCCATCTCTCCAGCCCTCTAACTCTTTTCTTTGAAGTATTTCCTAGATCATAGATGAGCCTCTAGCAAGAGAATGCCTGCTAGTTTTTCCTGCCCTGAAGAGCTGGCCACATATGGATCAAATGGTTTTGAATCACACCCTTACCTCTGAGCTCTCTCTTGAGGGAAGATGGTGACTCAGTTATGTGGCAGTTGCAGAATGACAGGCACAGTGGACTCGCCAAGGTAGCCTGTAGGACGCTGTGACCATAACCTGGGTGCTAAGCTGGCCCTCACAGGTTCAAACCTGGGCTGGCACCCCAGAAGAGAAAGAAAGTTTAAGAACAGGGCGCAAGCCTGATTCTCAACTATGAAATTAAGTTAGCAGTCAGTCGCTCCATCTGCTATGGCCCCAACATGCTTGCTCTTTAGCCTCGCTGTCTCCAGCCTTGTAGGGCGGAGAACCCTGTGCCTGGACACAGTGAGGCCCGTGTAATCAACATCCTTTCACAGGAACTCAGGGCTGTTGGGAGGCCTGGAAGTGCAACGGTCAACATCTGCTTTCGCAGGCTGTGTTTTGGGCCTGGGCTTCCAAAGCTACACTGCACCAAGTTCCTTTCCTGGGAGTTGCTTTCTCGTAGGACAGTATTTGAGTCTGGTTTCTCCAGGAGCTTTGAGCTGCTGGATAAGACCAAGCAGGGCAAATGAGGGGTCGCCTAGAGGACCAGACCAGAGTCTGAGGTCCTTCCAAGCGGTTCAGGGCTGGGTGTGGTATTGCACACCATGATCCTAGCACTCTCCAGCACTGAGGCAGAGCGATCTCATGTTGGAGCCCAGCCTGGGCAATTCAGTGGCCTCATGAGACCCCCCCGCCGTGCCCAAATAACAGGGCCAGGAACGTAGCTAAGTACAAAGGTCCTGTGTTCCTTTCCCAGTACTGCTTATAATAGGCCTGGATGGCCTGGCTGTGTGGCAAAGCTCTGGGCTGAATTCTCTTTCCACTCTGGCACAAACAGGAGATTGAAGCTTGGTGACATGATTTTTTCATTTATACCCTCTTTCCAGGGTGAGTTGTAAGGGTTCAGTGAGCTCATACAGGCCCAGGAGCACTATTCTGGAGGGGAGATGATGCCTGTGTTCCCCTGGGAAGGCAGTGCCTGTAAGTGATTCTTTTGGATTCTTCTGTAACTAAGGTAGGGTTGTGCCTACTTTGTGGATGAAGAAACAGGAGCTTGCTCAGGATCCTAAAAGCTGGTGTGTGATGGTAGAGACATTGTGGGGTGTGTGTGTGTGTGTGTGTGTGTGTGTGTCTTTTTGAGACAAGGTCATAGCCCGGACAGAATCCCACCAAGAGAAAGGAGGGATGTGCTGCTGTTTCTCCAGGATAAACGAGTGAGTCAGTCTCGCTGGCTGCTGCTGACATAGGCCTAGCCTAGTGTGCTTGTCGGTTATTATAGGAAGACCTCCGTGTTGATGGCCGTGGCTGTGAGGACTACCGATGTGTGGAAGTGGAGACAGATGTGGTGTCCAACACCAGCGGCTCTGCCAGAGTCAAGCTGGTGAGTACCATGTCCATAGCTTGCCCAGCTGGAGTTGTGGGCAGCCCTGGGGAGCCAGTCTGCTCTGAGAGACCCCGCCTCAGCGCATCCCAAGAGCTCTCAAGGCTGTCCATCTAGAAGCAGGAGCAGTGGGTCCTGGCTGCCCCACCTGACTGAGGATCCTTCTTGCCTATGTCCACAGGGCCACACAGACATCCTGGTAGGGGTAAAAGCAGAAATGGGGACACCAAAGCTGGAAAAGCCGGACGAAGGTTACCTGGAGTTCTTTGTTGACTGGTCAGTACTGCACAAGTGCTTTAGAGACCAGAGCTTTAAAGCACGAGGCTAGGAAAAGCCTTCACTTTCTCTGCATTGATTCAGCCCTGGACTCTCCAGGAGGTGTTTGCCAACTTGGTGCAGTGAGGTCTGCACAAAAGTCCTGCCCTTGTCTGAGTAACTTTGTTTGGCCCAGTTTTCCCCGTTTGGAGCTAAAGGACACAGCCTGGCCACCTTGTACATAGCACTTACAAGCTGAGCCAAATGTGTCACAGTGCTTGGGCGAGTGCCAACCTTGGGTGGTGAGGATCGTTTGGTCTACGGCATCCCACCTTTGCCTGCTCTAGCTCTGCAGAGAGCTATTCTTGACTTCCTTGGCATACGAGGCCTCAGGCTAGCATGGCAGCTCACCAGGTGTTCTGCAGGGTGTCGGGCCAGCCCAGGCCACAGCTGCACCTCCTTTTGTGTCCTCCGATGGCTTCCTCTGTCTGTGCCTGAGTTAAGTAGGGAGGTAAAGCTGGGTAAGGAAGAAGTGAAAGTGAGCAGTGCCCAGCTCGGGGATGGCGCCTGTGAGCACTCGTCCTATCCTTTCCCTCCCTGGTCTGTAACCCTCCTTTCTGATGCTGGGTGTCAGTGACAGACCTGGCAGGCTGGCCGGCCGTCCACTGGCCCTGTGAGGTGTGCGCATGTCACGGTGCTGCTGTATCCAGGTCTCCGAGGCCACCTGTACATGAATGTGCTGGGAGGACAGGACTTGGTGTGTGCTGAGATTCAGTACAGCAAGGACAACACAGTGAGCGACTCATCTGCAACATTTCTGCCATGGCCACTGTTAGAGACTCGGCACTGGGGTTTTTACTCAGGGCTGGACAACAGGCATCCTCCAATTCCCCTGGCAAAGCCCCAGACCGCAGGGAAAGTAGGCACAGGGCAGAGAGCATGCGTGCACAGCCCAGGCCCAGGTCCAGGCACCCTGTCCTACTGGTGGAGCTCAGAGCCCAGCGCCTAATGCCTGAGGGAGCCCCCTGGGAGCTCTCTGGAGCTCTGTACTTGGTGACAAGGATGCAGACTTGGGTTAGTCTTCATAGTGCCCCTGGGCATGGCGGCGAATGGAGACTGTGCACTTTCCTACGGTCTTTCCTATGGTCACTACTCCAAGTACTAGCTTGGGTCTGCCCAGCTCTGTTCTGTCTGCTCTGTGCAGCTGGAAGAGGCCGGTTGTTGAGGGCTGTCCTTAGAGGCCCGGCATGGCCATGCTGATCTCTGGCCGGGGTCTCTGCTGCCCCTGCCAGACCCAGCCCTCCTCAGCAGCCTGGTTGCCCCTCAGAGCCGGCTTGTCGCATGAGCACAGATGGCCCTGCCTATCCCTTTGCTCATGAAGGGTGTATGGTGCCTTTCCTGACCTAGACCTGTCTGAACCAAGGCAGTGGACCATGATCGAGCAAAGGACAGTGGTCTGCTTTCCTTCCCTGTCCTTCATTGTCTCTGCCTCAGTCATTGGAGACAGCCAAGGCTGTGGCTCTTGTGCAGCTGCCCAGGGGCGCAGGTGCCACACTCAGTCTCACTGTGTACATATGCCTGTGCTGTCCCCAGGTGGCCTGCAGGAGGGGCTGAGGGCTAAGCTGTGCTGGTGCTGTCATCATCGGAGGCTTCCCGAGTCTCTAGGGAGCAGCCCCTGCCACTGCCGAGGCTCATCTGCAGCCCTGCCAGGCACGTAGGGGTGGCCTCTGGCACCTCACACCCCTTCACTCCCTTAGCCTCTGGCTTTTGTAAGTGGTGTGAGGTGGGGGCCCTGCTGGTACTCTAGGTCTAGCTTGATTTAATTCCTTAGCAGCAGCTTCCAGGCTTTCATTATTTAAGTTCCCAGAGGTAGAGCGGTCTCAGGAAGCTAATTGCTTTTTTGCTAATTCATGTCCCTTTGGATTTGCCTACCTGAAGTGCTACCGTGCAAACCCAACTGGACAGTGCTTCCGCATCTTGACCTTGTGTCATGGGACCTGCAGAGCCTCTGTGGGTCCCAGCCTCTGCAGGAAGTGCCTGCTGTCCACACCCAACCTGCTCACAGGTGCCTGGCTGTACTCTCTGACCTGGAAGCAAAACCAGGCCTCCCAGCCCTGCCTCTGGCTTTGGGTTTGCTGGTGGAAGCCTGAGACCAGGTGTTTGAAACAAGAACTTGGAAGCTGGAGTTGCTTCTGTCTTTAGCCCAAAAAGAAGTGTCTAGTAAGTCTGCACATTGCTGTGGCTGCCACTAGGTTCCAGGCCACCTGGTCTTCTCAGCCCTCCCACTGAGCAACGGTGGCTTCAGAACTGTTCAGCCTCTCAGAGAGGCCCTGGGCCTTATTCATGAATGTCCCAGCGGGTCCAGCACTTGTCACTTCCCCTTTGATTCTAACTACTTTTCCATGTGGTCTCTGGTATCCTCACAAACACAGCCAGGATCTTTGAAACCTCTTGGTGGGTGGGGCCACCGCCTGCTTCCTGCTGCTGGGAGCTGGTGGCCCTGAGTCCGAGTGCCAGGGTCACAGTCAAGCGGTCCCAGTGCAGTTAGGTCACTTCCAGAAACATTGTGAAGAAGTTCGCAGTGGAAGGCTCGGTGTGCTGCAGCTCACTAGCCCAAAGGTGGGGAAGCTGAGACAGAGTAAGCCTGCTGTCCCCAGGAGGCTGCTCCTTCACCAGGCTCTGCAGATCACAGGTCGACTGGGTGTGCGGGAGCACAGTGACCTAGAGGCCAGAATCTATGCTGGGTTGTTGCGGCCTTGTGCTCAGGCTACCCCAGCTACACCAGAGAGGTCCCGGCAGGAGGAGTGGAATGGGCAGAGCAGAGGTGCAGGGGGAGAGAGCTGGAGCAGCCACATGTCCGCAGCTCTGAGAGCTGGTGGGCCTGCCTCAGGAAGGGTCTGAGTGGATTTGCTCACCATAGTTGCAGGAAGCAGCTGCTTTGTGCCAACCCTCCTCCCAAGCCTACAGAAAGGCTATATTGGGGTACAACAGGATCAGGGAGCTAGAATTACCAGTCTGTGACCTCTCCCAGCCCTTCAACTTGGTGTTTACCCACAAACGTTTCACTAGTGCTGCCTTGGGCTGTTCCTTGCCTGCATTTGTGCTCCAGAACAGCACTTAGTCTCTTGAGGCAAAGGGTGCTGGTGTCAGAGGGCAGGCCCCGCGTGTGGGCAGGGGCCAGGTGGCCTCAGTGCCTGGCTCCTGGGCACATGACCTTGCGTGACTTGCGTACCTTTCCTGACTCAGTATCTTATGCTGAAGTGGAGTGGGGGTCAAAGATCGAGCACTGGGTAGTGTGACACAAATGGGTTCTTTCTTTTGGTGGAGATCCTGGGCATTGGCCCCAGCAGGTGCAGTGTTATTGACATGGCCTTGTTAAGTTGGCCAGACTGGCCTCAAACTCGTAACCCTCCTGCCTCAGCCTCATGAATGGCTGGAATTACAGGCATGTGCCTTGCCATCTACTGCTCCCCAGCCCTTCCTGCTTACTTTTTTTTTTTTTTTAATTTTATTTATTTGTGTGTGTGTGTGGCCAGCTCAGCCCACCAGGGGGCGGGGCTGGCTGGCATGTGGTGCTGGGGGATTGAACCGCGGTCCCTGTGCTTTGCTAAGCTTGTTCTAAGTAGGTGCTTTAGACCACTGAGCCATCTCACCAGCCCCCTTGCTTACTTTTTAACTGGGTTTCTTTTATGTTTTTATGTTAGGGAGAGCCAGTGCTGGGACTGAACTGTACTACTGCTATATCCCTAGTGCCTTTTATTTGTCAAGGTGGAGTCTCACTGCAGCTGAGACTGGCCTCAGGCTTTTGATCCTCCTTTCTCAGCCTTCCCAGTACCTGGGATTTCAGGTGTGTACTACTTCATATGGCCTGGTTCATTCTGATGTCTAGATTACACTGAGTGAGTCCTTCGGATAGCCCAGGTGCAACAGGCACAGCGGGAAGGCACCTCCCCTCTCCTGGCCATTTGGCGCTTGCTCACCCCTGGTCTCGACGCTACCCTCCCACTGCCAGTTCTCCTACCTCATGGGGACATGGAAGTCCCCCGGCTCGGTCTCTTGATCACCAGTACTTTTTTGGATCCAGAGATTGAACTCAGTCCCTTGTGTTTGCCAGGCAAGCACTTATCCCACTGAGCCATCTCCCCAACCAGTACTTTTTTGATAGGTGAGGGATTGGAAGACCTCGATGTGTGGTTTTGCAGAGTCCAAGGTGCGGCAGCTGGTTTGCTTTTTTACCTTTCCTGCCGTCGTGGTACTTCCCTCCCGGGACACACAGGTCCAGGTGTGTCAGGCCAAAACTCTCAGTGATCTCCACAGAAACCCTCCTGAGGTATGGAGAGGGACAAATGTGCGTCTTGTGGGTTCTTTATGGAAGCAGTTGGACACAAGTATCAAAAGGCCAATAGAGAAACATTCCTTTTCTTTAGAAAACTGTCAAGCAGAGGGGCTAACTGAACACTTCATCAGCTGGCAGGCTTCCTGTTGCCTTCATGTAGCTTCCTTTGAGCATGACAGCCTCTGGGCTATGCTAGGACTCTGGCATCTGTCATCTGCATCTTCAGCCCTCTGAGCAAGCTCACTGCCCAGAGCTGCCAGAGAAGAGTGTTCCTTGCCCCTCCCTCCACATGGGCTTCCTCTTGCCAGAGTGCTTGTTTCTTCTGGGCTAAAGGTGGCTTGGGTAGCGCTCAGGAAAGTCCCTGCATGACATTCACCAGTGTGCTGTGGCCAGGCGGCAGACACGCTCCTCCCTCAATTTTCCTAGGAGGTGCGGTCCTCCCACCTCCTGGTCAAGTTCTGCCCAGGCTGTCCTCCATACCTCAGGGACCCTGCGGGAGCCTGTTGTGGAGCCCATCCCCGGCTCTTGGCATCTGAAAAACCTTGCAGGCATTTTTCCTCCCCTGTAGCTCAGCCAATGCTACCCCTGAATTCGAAGGCCGTGGAGGTGACGACCTCGGCACGGAGATCGCGAACACCCTCTGCCGGATATTCAACAACCGGAGCAGCGTGGACCTGAAGTCCCTGTGCGTTAGTCCCCGGGAGCACTGCTGGGTCCTCTACGTGGATGTGCTGGTGAGCGCCGTGTCCTGTGCTTTGGAGACGCAGCTGCTTCCCTCCCTCTGCTCTCCCTCTTAGAGGGATGCATTTGGCCTCCATGGGGGTTCCTGGGGCACAGACAGCTTCTGGTAATAACTTGTGAAGAAGCGTGTGGCACATTTACAAATAGTATGCATGTGGCACTGTTGTATAGTGAGGACGTGGCAGTTATCCACCGAAGTATTGGGAGGGAAGACCAAGTGCTGGATCGGACAAGGACCTGGGCAGAGTTCCGGTGAGCCAAAGCTCTTTCCCGGCCCCATTGAGAGGGATGCAGTGAGGGCTATGATGAGCGAGCAAACAGATCCGAGCAGTGGAGTGTCCCACCTGGGGTCCCAGCTCCTCAGCGGTGCCCTCTCTGCCACTTTCCTTTGCAGCAGTCTGGACAGCAGGCAGTGAGCCCACCCACTCTGAGGCCCCCTCCCAGGCCAGAGCTGGGACCTGGGCCCTCCCACTTCCTGCCCTCTGTCTCCCTCACCTGTTGGAGCTTGGCGTTGTCCTCTTGTAGCTGTAATTGAGTTGATCTTCATGTAGCAGTGCACTTATTGGGTCTGTGTCTTAGTTACTCTTCTCTCATTGCTGGGACAAATACACTGGCTCCAAGGCAGAGCGGCACACGGCACACGGCACACGGGAGAGAACATCCATTCATGGCAGCAGCAAAGAGCAAGAGCAAGTGGGAGGAGTAGCGGCCACAGAGAGCAAGTCTGTTTCTCTCTCTCCCTTATGTTACATTCAGGCTACCACCCCAGGCTGGGTGGAGCACTCACACCCATAATCCCAGGCTTGGATCACGAATTAATCAAACTGTAGAACTGCACCTCATGACTGCCTGAGGCTTTGGGGGGACAAATAGACACAAACCACAACAGTCTGTTTTCTTCCTTTCCATTAGTTCTATGATCCTGGAGAAAAGTAACCATGTCCTCCTCTTCAGATCAAGGCCACGAGACCCAGCAGATTCTCCAGGGGATGCAGTCAGTGTAGAGCTGTGGGCAGAGTGGGTCTGCTGGCGAGAGAGCTTGGTCGTCTCTCAGCATTGCTCCCGCGTGAAACAAGCTAGCGCTTTCTGGATATTAAGTTAATTTGGTGGACGGAGCACAGTGAACAGACCTGGGCTGCGGTACAGCTCAGTGGAAGGGTCTGTGCTTAACGCAAGGCCCAGAGTTTGGGCTTCAGCACCAGCAAGGGGGAAGGGCTGGCAGTCGTTGTCCAGCAGTTAGGTTTGCTCTGAATGCGACACTAGTTAGTGGCTTCTCCTGGTTCCTGACAAAGGGGAAGGATGTACGTTGTATTGGGAGTCCTACCAAGGACTGGCTTCGGTGAGGGACGGCCAGCCCCAGTGCTCACCCAGTGACCTGGGCCAGCGCGGCCCTGAGCTGCCCAGCTCATGCATCACCACAGCGTCTTCTCCTCCTTCCCCTCCGAGAGAGTTGGAGTTGGGACGCGAGCAGCAGCAGCCTTCTGTCCTGTTCTCAAGGCTTCTGCAGAGCTGATGAAAACGCAGGCCGTCATCTCACCCCAGAGGCTGCCTCTTCCTCCCTGCATGGAACTTCCAGGCAGTGACCCACGTGGCTGCCCTTCCTGCCCTGTCTCCTGCAGACGCCTGGCACCTGGGTTGTCCTTACACATTCTCTTCTAAAGGGTTAACTTTGGAAATAGACATGAACTTTAGAAGTGTTGTCTTCTGTGAAGGTCTTAATCAAAAGAACATTTTAAAATTGGTATCCTCAGTGAGGAGGACCAGTGTCTGTCATTCCCCTAAGTCAGTGTTTGCTTTCAGCCTGGATGGGAGCGAGCTCACTAGCTTTCATCTCAAATCCAGAGACAGGTTTGAAGTGAGGTTTGAAATCCGGTCTGGTGGCCGGATTGGGACCAGGCAGGCGCTGTGATTTATTTCCGGCGTGCAGTTTGTGTGGTCGTGTGAGGGCACGGCCTGTGTGCACACAGCCCAGCCCGCTCCTCTTCCTGACCCAGATGCTCTGAGGCACTTGGACAGAACGTGGCCTGTGGCCTGGGTTCATGATGGGACCTGCTCTGGGCCTCAGGCATGTGCACAGTCCGGTTGTGCGAGTCTTGCACATAGCGAGGGAGCTGCTAGGATGTGTGTGGCCCTGGTGGCAGCTGTACCTTCCACCCCAGCGCATTCCTGCAGGAAGCAGCTTGGAGCTGTGCCAGGAGAGGCGGTCGTGGGCCCTGCTGCAGAGGCTGCGAGGCCTTGCAGGTGCTGTGTTGGCACTAGGATGTACACGGCCCTGTGCTCTGTCTCATGAGAGAGACAGCATGTGTTACACGAACACATACTGGGCCTCGCTTTGGCTGGCGCGTAGGTGCCAAGTGGTGCTCACTGTCCTTCCTCTGTCCTGTCTCTTAGCTGCTGGAGTGTGGTGGAAACTTATTTGACGCCATCTCCATCGCTGTGAAGGCCGCGCTCTTCAACACAAGGTAGGTCTTCAGTAACCGCTTCGTGTGCTTGCTGGAACCTGGAGCTCACATGGCCCTGTAAACATGAGGGAGTGCAGCCCAGCACTTGGGAGGCGTGGGCAGGAGGATCCCTGAGAGTTTGAGGCCAGCCTGGGTACATAGTGAGTTCAAGGTCAGCCTGCACTACACAATGAGACCCTGTCTTAAACACGGACACAATTTCTGTGTTTATTTTTGTATTATTTTCATTAGTGGACATGTGTTATGTAGAAAAGTATTAGACAACTGCAGAGAAGGCGCCAGCCACAGCCTGGCTGTCCTGGCCAGCCCCGCAGGCAGGGAAGTGGCTGCTGTCTCCTGGCACGTGGCCGCAGTGCACATATTCCGTGATTGTGCGCTGTCCAGAAGTGGGGGCCCAGCGTGGGGGAGCTGCTGCGCCGTGACCTCATCAGGAGCAGGCAGCAGCGGGCCTCTGTGGCTCTTGCTTCCCAGAAGGGGCCTGGCACAGAGGCCCCCCCCCCGAGCCCTCCCAGAGCCGGTGCTTCTTTTGACTCCTGATTATGTGAATGTCTTTCTCGACAGGAAAGGGGCTCATAGCAGTTGAAAGCAAGTCTATTTGTGGGGGGAGCTCAGAGAGTGGGCTCGGCCTCAGGGTCAGAAACTGACAGGGATGGAGCCGAAGGAAGAGGTTGTACCTGTGAGCGAAGGTGTTTGTTCCTCACAGGGTGGACACCCTCAGTGGCCTGACGTGGGGCTTCAAAGCCGCACAGCATAGAAGGAAGTAATTCTCTGCCATTTTGACATCCTGTTTCTTGCCTGATGTTGTATTTTACCTGTGGTAACTTTTATTTTCTTTTTAATATGCTTCCCCAAATTGTCACTAAGATTTTTCTTTGATCATATTTTGGACAGTTTAACCTGAGTCAGCATTTTAGATATTCCCTAGTGAACTTAGGCTACGTATATAGTTTGAAACACACACACACACACACACACACACACACACAGAGCTAACTAAACCCATCTCCGTGAGAAGCTATGAGGGCACGTTGACCTAGGGACCACAGTGTTCCCCTCATGGGCCAACCAGCCTCCCTGCTGAGCTCATCCCAGATGCCGGCCTAGCCCTCACCCAAGGTCACCACCCCGGAGCGTGAGTCATGTCCCACCCGCAGCAGGAGTGAAGGAGTGGCGGAATTCAGCACCTCTAGGCTGCTGGCTAGCTCCATGTGGGCACCGAAAGGAGCCAGACAGGCTGGATGTCAGCACGGAACGTGCAGCTGCCCACCTAGGGTCCAGCCCAGGCTGTTCTGTTGCCCTGAGTGTGCTCTAAGAACGACAGGGACAGGGATGCTGAAGGACAGACGTATTGCCGCAGGAGGTCCCCACTTCCGTTCTTATCCCAAAAGAAAGATGGCCTCATTCCTCCTTCCTGTCAGTGGAAATTTGTGCTTCTGCTTCTAGGATCCCGAAGGTTCGTGTCCTGGAGGACGAGGAGGGCTCCAAAGAAGTCGAGCTGTCTGATGACCCGTACGACTGCGTGCAGCTCAGCGTGGAGAACGTGCCCTGTGTGGTCACCCTATGCAAGGTGTGGCCTCGTCGCCTCTGGCCTCGCCTGCTGGGGTTGCCTAATGCGTGGCAGTTAGAGTGGCACAAGTGCACAGTAGTGCAAGCCCAGATCCAGGGATTGGGCCACGCAGGGCGCACTCCCCATAGCTCCTGCTTCGCTTGCTCTCAGCCTGCTGGGCGCACGGGGAGCAGGGCTTCCGCGGCCCCTTCACATCCAAGCCCTCCCCGTGGTGCCCAGCCCATCCTTTATTCCCTCCGCTCTGGTGGCTGAAGTGGCTGAGCGGTGCGAGGGCAGTGAGCAGCGGCCCCTCCATGGCCCCAGATGCTGTACCAGGTCAGTGAACCTGTCAAGAAAGCTGGGCTCGCAGCCCAGCGTGCAGTCGAGGCTGCCGTGCCAGCACTGCCCAAGCGAGCAGCTGGCTCATACCACCTGAGGCCCATTACATTCAGTCGGGCATCGCTCCACTGGGATCCCCTCATGACCCAGAGTGCGTGACTCATGCAGACAGGTGCTTGGGACCCAGCAAGCCATCTACACGTGTCTCATTTTTGGTCTTGTCCCTTAGCAGGGCCCTCTGTGCACCACTGAGCAAAACATCATATGACCACACATGTGTCTTGCCCTGCTCCCCTTGGCTGCAAAACATTGTGCTCCCTGTTCCCCGTCCCTGTCAGCAGGCCATGGGGCAGGGACCCAGGGTGCACACAGCCTCCCTCCCTCTGCAGATTGGCTGTCGGCACGTGGTGGACGCTACCCTCCAGGAGGAGGCCTGCTCCCTGGCCAGCCTGCTGGTGTCGGTTACCAGCAAGGGGGTGGTGACGTGCATGAGGAAGGTGGGGAAGGGCAGTCTGGACCCCGAGAGCATCTTCGAGATGATGGAGGTGAGGTGGGGCCAGGCAGTAGGCTGCAAGCTAGGGGCGCAGCTAGTGACCTGGCCTTGTGGGTAGGACTGGGAAGCAGGTAAGAGACAGCAGGTCCCCGCCCCTTTCTGACCCCAGTTCCCTGGTTTCTGTGTGACGGTGTCAGCCATTGATTGCATAAAGAATCACCTACAGCTCTCAGATCCTAAAATTCTGTGATTTGATGGGAATCGACTGGCTGCTTCCTGTCCGTTAGAGGGAAACAGAAGGTGGTAGGGCCGGGGCGGGAGAGTGAGCCTGATCCCACATCTCCCCAGGTCTGGAAGGCTGGTGTGGATGGAGCCGGGATGGGCACGGTGGACTGTGCATGCCCATGGGTCTCTCTCTGTCCGGAAGCCCCAGGGAGGTCCTGGCTGCTCACGGTTCTCCCCAGCCGTCTTCCTGCATGGCCATCTTGGCTTCCTGGCCAAGGCGCCAGGGCAGAGTGGGGCTGGTTGCTTTTTTGAGATGGTGCCTCACTAAGTTGCCCAGGCTGGCCTTGAACTTGTGATCTTCGGCTTCCTGAGTAGCTAGAGTTACAGCTGTGTACCCCTGGTATTCCAAAGAGCATAGTGGCCTGGGGCTGATCAGGGGTACAGTGTATACGTGGCAAGGCATGAGGGTTCAGTCTTCAACACCAAAAACAAATACAGTAATCCCCCAGACCCAGAAGAACCTAGTGCTGTGGCAGGTGCCCAGGGAAGCAGCGCAGGAAGACCACAGACTTGAGCTGAGCCTGCAGGCAGTGCAGGGGCTCCTGGTTGGTGTGAGCTCACAGGCCCCCTCTCCTGCCCTCCCTGTCCTGCAGACCGGCAAGCGTGTGGGCAAGGTGCTGCATGCCTCGCTGCAGGACGTCCTGCACAAGGAGGAGAGCCTGGGCCCCGAGAGGCCGAAGGTGGGATTCCTGGGGTGATGGACACAGCCTTGCAGTGGACTCTGTTCCTCTTTTCTTTGGAGATCAGGTCTCAAGAGCTGTGCTGTCCCAGCTGGTCTCGAACTCCTGGACTGCCTGCTCCCCAGCCAGTGGCCAGCATGAGAAGGTTGTGCCGCCGCACCCTGCTTTCCTTTTCCTTGTGAACTGCTTTGTGTATTTATTTTGTTAGTTGTGAATTTAAACTTAAAAGTCTATTTTCGGGCCTGTTGTGTTGTGGCTCAGTTCCTCATCCAGTGCTTCCTGGGGTGCCTGCACAGTTCACAGCTAAAGCCCTGGAGAGGCCAGGAGAGGCCCCCAGGAAGTGCAGTGCCTACTGAAAAAGGCCTTTTTCGGAGCTCTTAGAGTCCCAAGTGGCAGAAGTTCCCTGAGCTTTTGTGGCAGTGGGGCTGGGTAGGGAGCAGGGGTGGGTGGAGCCCTCGCTCAGGGTTTGGGCCACTTGGTCCTCAGCCAGGCTTCTGGTCACTCCCGCTTGAAAACTGCCTTGGGTTTTGTAACCGCTCCCCAGGGTTTCCTGTGACTTCATTTTCTCAGCATTGTAGCCGCTGCCATCTGATTACTCAGCTTGCTTGCACCCTGGGGAGGGCAGGACGGGCCAGACCCCTAGCCTCTGCTCTGCTCCTCCCGGGTAGAGTGGGCTTTGCTTTAGTGTAGGGAAAACTCGACGCAGATCTTGCAGCCTTGGAGGCCCTGGCTCATGCTGGGGAGGACCAGAGGAAGGTGTTCGGGATTCACCACCTGGGGAGAGCTGCCCTGTGGAGGGTGTGGTGGCTGCCCAGTCACCTGCACAGTCTGGGTCTGATCTTCCTTTTCCAGTGAGTGTCCCCAACAGGGCACAGGCCTGTCCCCACTCTGCACACAAGGAGGCTGGGGCAGTGGCCACACTAAGGGAGGCATAGCTCAAGCCAGAGCGTAGAGCCTATGGACCTGGACAGCCAGTCAAGGGACAGCTGCAGACAAAACACGTGTTTCCTCAGTACCAGCTCATGGCTCTTCATGGGGCCAAGAGAGCACTGAAGGCAGACTGGGCAGCGCTTCCCAGCATAGCCGGGCTGTCTCTGGTGGCCTTTAGGTACACATGTCAGGGAGGAGTGTGGAAGCCACCCAAGGAGTGCAACGTTACGTAAGTGGCAGGGCGAGGTTGCAGTTTCTGTGTTCCCCGGGCTTTGCACAGCTGTAAATTTAAGCCTGCAAAACCTGAGGCCTTGAGGAGCCTGTGGTTGCCTGCACTTCGCTCTCTGTTGGTGGTGGTCTCGCTGGGTCCACCCTGTGGAGCACCAATCTAGGTCCCAGCAGACCTGGGCCGAGGGTGTAGAGAGCCTTAGGGACGTGCATGCCCCTGGACCTAGGAGTTCTGCCTCTGGAAACATGAGCAGCCCAGCCCACGAGGGGAGCAGGAGCGCAAATCCACACGTGGTCATCCTCTGTCTTCACCCCAAATGCTGGTCCCTGGCAGGAACAGTGTTGGAAAGTGGCATTCTGTGTGATGACATCCCCTCCCTGCACCTCCATGCATTGAGCATGTGCAGCCCAGGGCCCCAGGGGACTCAGTGTCTCTGCTGGCAGCACCACGGAGACACACAGAGGCACTGCTCTGGCCACCAGGCATTTGCTTCTGGACTGCCCATGCTGTGATTGATCCAGGGTGGAGGGGGCCTCTGGATAGGGTCAGGCCTGTTGTCCTCTCTTACCCGCCCCAGCCCCTCCCTCTGTGCCCCAAGGCCACCCCCAGGGACCCTTCAGCACACTTGCCTCCGACCCTACCACTCAGCATCATGGGCTCCACCGTGGTCCAGGCAGCAGAGCCCCAGTGGGGCCAGCAGTTGGCAATGCCCTGTCACAGGTGTGGCGACCAGCAGCGAGGACCCGGGCCTCTTTCTGCAGTGTTGTGCCCCTCCTCCACCCCCAGCAAGGGGACTGCTGTGAGTGGTCTGCCAGGCCCAGCTCTAGTGCTGCTGGCTTTTATTAGCTGCCCTGGAGGGGTGGCCGACCCAGGCACAGTTCTCCAGTTCTGGGGGAGAAGCCAGAGGGCCCTCCTGCAGGGAGCCTGGCCCGCAGCCAGAGAGGGGCAGCCTGGAGCTGGCCTGAAGTTTGCAGTGAACTGGAAGGTGCAGTCCTAGTCCTTCACCAAAGTCAAGGGGTGGCCATCAGGAAACGAAGGGACAATGAGATGAAGAGCAGACCTTCAGCTGTCCTGTCTGCAAGCATTTAGCAGCCTCTGGAAACAAAGATAATGTGGCCTAAAGTTGGGAGAGGAGCATCTGAAGTAGTGCTGTCAGCAGCCACCTTTCCTGGGAGCTCTTCAGGTTGGGAGAAAGCTGAGGACCTGGCTGGCAATGGGGAGCAACAGGACTTCAGTAGGGCGTGCAGGTTCCTGCGGTCATCTGGAGGCGGAGGAGCCCGGCACACCACTCGGCAGCGGGAAGTCTCCTTCAGGGCCACTGTCTGCTTCTTGCCCGGCTGCACAGGCGCTGAAGTGTAGAGCTGGCTGGAACACAGCTATGGGGTCGCTTGGAAGCTGTGGCCCCAGTGATGCCGTCCAGGAGAGGAGGCAGCCGGGGGTGGAGACAGGCTGTTGCACTCCCTGGGCCAGGGGCAGTGTGGCTGCTCCTGAAGACCTCCTGAGAGCCCCAGCTTTGTGTCCCCCCACAGCTCCACTCTGCATCTGCAAGAATCTGTATTTAGCAGGACAGAGGCCATCACTCCATTTTCGAGTCCGAGTCTTGAGTCATTTCCCAAGGGACACAGTGTCAGGTGTCTTAGAATTCCCCTAGCAGACATGTTCTGCTGTAGCCAGTTACCACTGCTGACTTTTTTTTTTTTTTTAAATGTGTTTATTATTACAGGGTCTCACTATGCAGTTCAGGCTTGTAGTGAGCCTCCTGTCTCAGCCTCCCCAGTGCTGGGATTATAGGCACATCCAAGGTTCCAGTGCCGGCATGGTATGTGGTACTGGGGATCAAACTCAGGTCCTTGTACTTGCCAGGCAGGTGCTTAGACCACTGAGCTATCTCTCTAGCCCTACTGCTGGCCTTTAAAGACAAAATGCCTAGGAATGTCAGCCCCCCAAGCAAAGCCCTCACTGGTATCTTGCTGTCCCCAAGGCCTACCTAATGCAGGATCTTTCTGTGGAGACCAACAGAGCTCGACCAAGGACCTTTCTGAGCGAAGGTCCCTGGGGTCACGTTTCCAGGTCTCTTGGGCTTGGTTTTGACATGGAGACTGCTGGCCCAGTGTTCTTGGAGCTGTGCAGCAGGGGTGTGGCCAGGCCTGATTCTGCTGACCCAGGGCCAGCAGCGTGAGAGGAAACATCTGTGTGAGAGCAGTGGGGCTGATGGCAGAGGGCCGGGGCTGCTTTGTGTAACTCCAGCAACAGTTGGGGAACAGAAAAGGAAAAACAAAGCACTTGAGCGCTGAAATGCGCCTTCTGGGAAGCCCGCTCCTCAGATCTGGTGCCTCCCTGCCTGTCACCAAGGTTGTCCTTTGTGCAGGGAGGTCAGTGTGACAGGCCTGCTCCCTGAGGGTGATGGTAGTGGACAGACATTTCCTCTCCTGCCCAAACCCCCCACGTGCAGCCTGGGGCCTGTGGGTCTTATGGATGGGACCAGAGGGCGAGGAGGGTGACATCCACAGGGCTCCCCAGGGCTGCTCCGCCCCTCTTTTTTTTTATTTGGATTGAATGGGCCCTTGTGCTTGCCAGGCAAGCGCTTATTCTACTGAGCCATCTCCCTGGCCCACATTTTTTCTTGAGAAAAATGGAGCCTAGGCTACCTTTGAACTCTGGTCCTCAACATCCTGAGTGCTGGGTTGACAGGCATGTGCCCTGTGCCCTCTGTCACAGGATTTGAGCCTCACTGAAACAATAAAAACATCATGGCATGCCTAAACAAGACTACAAAAAGATACATCCCAAATGCTTGCACTGAATGAAATAGCACTTCGAGCACTTGTGGCTTGTGCAGTGTCTGCAGTGGGTCTTTTCGGAACCCCTCTGAGGGTGTGACAGCTGCTTAGTCTGGTGACACAGCTGTCCTCTCCCCGGCCTGTTGTTGTGTCTCTGGGCCAAATGGACTCTTCCTGCGACTCAAGCCGGGCAAGACGCTTGCCCTGTCCGGTCTGTAAGTCACTAACAGCGCGGGGTGCCCTGCACACACATGTACCAGCCACAGTCTGCAGGTGAGATGACCAAGGACGCGCCCGCCACTTACTGCAGACCCAAGGCCGCCTTCCTTCCTGTGGGTTCTGAGTTGGTCTGCTGGCTCCAGTAGAGAAGAGCCACTGCACAAGGTGTGCCCCACACATAGGTGGCTGCCCATGGCAGATGGGGTCCCTGTACCCCCACTCCACAGCCAAAGGCTTCTTCCTAGTACCCCCACCTCAGTGTCTGGGGGTGAGTCTCTGCAGGCCTTGAAGTCCCCTCAAGGCAGAATCCACCTTCTGGGTTAAACGTTAGCCCATGGCCTAGAAGCCCAGGCCCAAACGCAATGGGAAAAGGAGCAGGTGTCCTTGCTTTCACACAGTAAGGCCCACATATTACTAGGGCCCTCCTGTGACCCTTGGCTGCTCCCAGCCCTCTCACCACATCATTGACTGCAGGTTCGACACCCCTTGGGCTTCGGGTGCCATGACGACCCCCCAAGGGCCATAACAGCTGCAACACTGCACTGCAGCTCCTAACATAGGGCCCAGGTAAGCTGCTCACGGGCAGGAGCCAGACCTGACCCTCAGTCCCACCCCAGGGCCGTTGCACCAGGCCCTGGAGCCATGGGCTCTCCCTGGCCGCTCCTTCCCATGCAGTGGACCTCGACTTCTCCTTCCGGCTCCTCTCTGGTCTTGCTGCTGCTCCGGGACCCCAGCCAGTGTCACTGTTTCCCGCTTTCTGTCTCCCCACCTCTCCAAGGGCCCAAGATCTAGCATGTCCTCTTCACCAGGTGACAAGCCTTGCTTCTGTGTCCCTGCCCACTGCTCTGTTCCACAGGAAGCTCTCTAGGCTGCTTCTGTCCCACCCTGGCTTGGCCACCCTGCCTGCCCTGGGAGGCCCCTGCAGATGGTGGGCAGCTACTGCCTCAGGCCCCGGGATCTGGGTGCCTGGCTGAAGGCTTGGGGCACCAGCAGGCCCAGCAACTCCAGGTGCTCAGTTCCTTTAGGGAAAGGTATTTGGAGGCAGGATGTGGGCCTCCCTGGGACAGCTAGGATGGGACCTTGGGGTCTCCCAGGGCTCAAGCGCCTCCTCTTGCTCTCCATGCATGGGGCCTCCCACCCCTGAACAGGACCCTATTCAGAGCCATCTGCTGTGGGATCAGCACCCTGCCATCCCCACTGCCAGGACTGTCCTCTCCCTCGGGGACAGTGTTCCATGGGGATACTTCCCCCATGCTGGGCTTTGGCTGCACAGAGGAGCAGGCACAGGGACACTCTCTCTGTACCTCTCTGGCAGCAGCCTGCAGCCCCTGCCTTTTCTCACAATGCCCTCCCTGCCCTCACCCTGGGTGGCTTCAGGACAGGAGCATTAGGCTGGGTGGGGTATAGAAGCCCCCACTTCAGTAATCTGGGAACACCCTGCAGCAACCTCCACCGCCTGATGGCTGCATGCTTGGGCTCTCCAGGCCTGTTTCCTTTACTGTAACTAGGGGTGTGAGGATGAGGTCATGGTGGGCAATGACAGTAGCCCTGCAGCCACACTGCAGCTCTGGGAGCCCCTGTTCCACAGCCAGCTCTTAGAAGGCAGGGCTTGCAGGCGTGGTGTCGCATACCTGTAACCCAGAGTTTGGGAGGCTGAGGTGGGAGGATTGCCCCAAGTTCAAGGCCAGCCTGGGCTACAGGGTGAGACCCTGTCTCAAAAGATTAAAAAAAACCCAGGCTATTGGCCTGATAGCTCAGCAGACTAAAGCACCTGCTTAGGCAGAGTGCAGCGGCCTGAGTTAAATCTCTGTCGTGCTGTACTGGCCCGCCCCAGGGCACGCTGAGAGGGCAGTTGAGACTGGGCGTGGTGGTGTGCGCCTGTAATCCCAGCGTTTTGGGAGGCTGAAAACAGGAGAGTCACTGAGTCTGATTTATGTAGTGAGACCCTGTAGATCCAGAAGCCCCTCTTCTAAATACATTAGAAAAAAAAAAAAAAAAAAAAACAAGGGACTGGGCAGATGGCTCAGTTAGAATAAGCGTTTCCCTGGCAAACTCAAGGTCAGAGTTCAATCCCCAGTTCTGCCAAAATACAATAAAAAAAGAAAAAACAAAACAAAGATACAGGCCCCCAAATCAGCACATGGGCAGCACAGCTCAGTGGCTGCAGGGCCTTCCCCTCTGCAGGCTGTATTTTTTTAATTTTTCTTTTTTTTTTTTTTGGCACGCCCCAATGCTTGTCATGGGAGGGTTTCCTGGACAGAGGTTCTGGTGGCCTCAGCCTTAAGAGGCGCAGGCCAGGCGGCGTCCCCATTGCTTCCCTTCAGGCCGGCGGTAGCAGCAGCAGCGGGGACAGCAGCAGCTGCGACAGCATGGCGCTTTGGGGACCCCAGCTGCTCCTCTGCGCCCTCCTTCTCACCCGCATTGCTGCGGAGGCGCCAACCTCCAAGCCCAAGAAGGCTCCTACTGCCCGGAAGGGTAAGGAGGGCTCCGGCCCCTCCCCTGGGCTCCTAAGGCTCCTTCCCTCCCCTCCTCTAGGATCTTAAAAGCAGCTCTCTGGGGTGACACTGCGGGACCCTCTGGCCAGGCACCTGGACTGGGGCCCCCCTCAGCGTTAGAGCACCCGCTGACGCACATAGCGCCTGGGTCCAACCCCAGCCCGGCAAACCAACAAACCAGGTCCCTGGACCGCCCCCTCCTGGTGTCCGGCCGAAGCCTCACCTTTGGCCGCAGGCCTGTGTGGACGCCCCCGCCCCCCAAGGGGCACCGCGGGCAGTGCTTGGTGAACCCCTGAGCTTCCGGTGCATCCCCGTAAATGGGGGAGGGTGATGGCCACACCCACTGGATGGGCCGAGGAGCGGGTACCTAGCCCAGGACAACGGGTGGCGCAGAGTGGGGAGAGACAGAGCTCCGGCCCGCGTTGTCCTGGCTCAGTGATCCACTCCTGGGTGCGGTGACCTTGGTTTTCCAGCAGTGAGGTCACCCCGCTGTATGGACACAACATTGGTGGCGCCATGGCAACAGCCCCAGCTGTCCCCAGAGGGAGATGGGAAAGAGGGGGTGTGGCCCCAAGGCCAAAGCAGTAGGCTGCTAGCAGGAACTTAGGGTTTTTTGGCTTGAATCAAGGTCTTGAGGTGAAGCCTTGAACTGGCCAAGATCTTCCCGTCTCAGCCTCCAGAGCCATGGGATTACGAGTGTGCACCACCATGCCCAGCTAGAAAGGGCAGATCCAGGCACTGACAAAATCCCAGACCTGGTGGGAACGTGGCTGAGACCTGCCTGATGTGTGCGAGGACTGGCCCATCCCCAGCACTGCAGGAAAGAGAAGACAGTCATGTCCAAGGTTGTGTTTACAATGTGAACAAAGAAAATTTCAACATAGTGGTGGATTTTCTGTCGACATTTGCTTGGAAAAAGAGATTTGTGTAAAATATCTTTAGTATACATATACAGTTTTCTGGAAGTTGGTGACAGTGATGATGTCTGGGAAGATAAACAGAGAGAGGCTCAGGAGGCTGAGGCAGGAGGATCTCTGGGAGTTCACAGCCAGCCTGGACTACATAGCAAGATCCTGTTTCCAAAAACTAAAAAAAAAATGAGTGAGGAACAGGAGTCCCACCCATGGCTGCGTCCCTGAGCCCTCATCAGAGCAGACACTGAGGCATGTTCTTGGGAAAGGCTCAGTTTCAAGGCCAGGGTTAAGGGAGGCCTAGGGTGACCTTGCCTCAGGGAAAGGCGTGGGACCTGCACTTGGGCTCCTTGTCCTCTCTGCTGCGGGCCCTTATGCAGTGCCCAACTCACAGGCTTTCACATGGCACACTGGGCTGATGCATCAGGATGAGAACAGAGGCGCCGTGAACCCCAGAGCAGAGGCTGGGGTGGGGTACCACACAGCCTGGCCCCCACCTTCTCTCTTCCTGTGTTTCTCCCACTGGACAAGTTCTGTTCCATGCCTGCCTGTGGTCCCCTGCAGAACACCCAGGGGTGCATGAGGCCCTGCCCCTGCTCCTGCCCCTGCCCCTGAGGGACACGGGCTTCATGGAGATTCCAGAAGGGCTGGGGTCCCCTCTGCAGCCTCTCAGCCCCAGCCCCCAGCTGGCTACCCTAGATCCTCTGCCTCAGTTTCCTTGCTGTGACCCCCCCCCCCGTGTGTGTGGGAGGGAGGAGCCCAGGGCCCCACTCTCAAGGGTGTGAATGGCCAGGGGCACCTGCCTTCCAAGCATCGGGGAGGCTGAGGCAGAAGGATCACCAAGCTTGAGCCCAGCCTCTATCTCAAAAATAAAAAGGGCTGAGGGATGAGGAGTGAAGGCACCCAGTTCAGTCCTCAGTGGAGCAAAAATACAAAGTCAGGTCAAGCCCTGCCTCGACCGCTAACAGGGATGGGTGGGGTAGGTGTTTCCACCCAGGTTTTCTTTCTTTTTTTTTTTTAAATTTCAGGGAAGGGTCTACAGGGTGTTCATGGTCCCACTACTAGATCGGAGTCGTAGTGATCTGACCGTTTACAGCCTCCCAAGAGGCGGGATTAGAGGGGCAAGCCACCACGCCCAGTCTCAGTTGCCCTCTCAGTGTTCCCCCGGGCTGGGGCTGGCAGGGCAAGCCTGGGGATTGAACCCCCAGCCTCTGAGTCTGCTTGCAGGCATCTTAATCCGCTGAGTTATTTGGCCAGCCCTGTTTTCTGAACAGTCTGTGGGTAACTGGGATATGCCTGAGGATCAGTCGCCCTGGGCCTCTGTACTGTAGGTCATGAGTCTCCATTCTTTCTCTTTCCCTCTTCATCTCTGCTCCCTTCAGCCCTTGTCTCTGCCTTTTCTTTTTTTGGACCATGACAGAGCCCAGTCTCCCCCTTCCCCCCACCCTCCCAACTCCCCCATTCCTGCCAATTTTAGGTTTTATTCTGAGAACAGAGTCTCACGGCCATCCAGATAGCTCAGCAGACTAAAATGCCTGTTTCCGCTTCCCCCGACCCAGACAGCGAAAGAGACTGGGCGTGGTGGTGCCTTTAATCCCTGCACTTGGGAGGCTGAAAATGAGGATCACTACGAGTCGGATCTGTGTAGTGAGACCCTGTACTAAAAACAAAAACAAAAATAAATACATAAATAAATAAATCCTGAGAACAGAGCCTCCCTAAGCAGCTACATCACCAGCTTGGGCTCATGCTTCCTGCCTCAACCTCCCCCAGGGCTGGGCTTCAAGGTGTGATGTTAAAGCCACTCAGAGAGACTGACCAGAGCCCAGTTCGGCCAAACCCTGGGAGGCCGCGGTCCACTCCTGCAGCCCCTGACCAGGGGGAAGGGCCCGGAGCCCGGGCAGCGCACTCCTGGGGGTAGCAGCGCTAATGAGGGCGGCAGGGTCCTTGCTCGGTCCTGATCCTGCTGGCCCTGCCTTGTCACGACTGTGCCATCTCTTCCCACCGTGCCCCAGACCTCGTGAGCCCCAAGATGTTCGAGGAGCTCAAGAGTCGCCTGGACAGCCTGGCGCAGGAGGTGGCCGTGCTGAAGGAGCAGCAGGCGCTGCAGACGGGTGAGTGCGCGCCCGGGATGTGTGCGTGTGCGCGTGTGTGCACAGAGGTGCGGTGCTTGTGGGCAGGTTTGCGTGTGTGTGTGGTCTTTGTACGGTGTGTGGGTAGGCGCGTGTGGATGTGCACGCACGCCAGAGAGAGACAGAGAGTGTGTGTGGTTCCGGGGGGAGGAGTCCCCGGAAGTGGGAGCCCTGGTGGCGCAGTCAGTGCCCCAGTCACCCTGGCGTCCCGGCTGTCTCTGGGTCCCAGGCCCCGCCCTCGTCCCTTTTCACTGCTTGGTTCAGGCCGGTCTGGGACCCTTCGTCCCCGAGCTGTCTCCCGGCCCTTGTGTCGTTCCTTGTGCAATCTGGAGGCGCCCGCTGGGTCGCTGGGGGACAGCCGCGGTGCCGCCCTGGCCCTCGGCTACCCCGCCCCTGCCCAGCCGCACCTGCGCTGGGCACCCCGCGGCCCCTGCTGGGGACAGGAGCGGCGCTGCTGGGGCCCGGAACTGAAGGGCGCGACCTCGGCTGCCCGTGACCGGCCGTGTCCCCCCGCAGTGTGCCTCAAGGGCGCCAAGGTGCACCTCAAGTGCTTCCTGGCCGTGGCGCAGGCGCGCGCCTTCCACGCGGCGGGCGAGGACTGCATCGCGCGCGGGGGGACCCTGGCGGCGCCGCGCTCCGAGGCGGAGAACGAGGCGCTGCGCGAGTACGCGGCGAGCAGTCTGGGCGCGACGGCCGAGCTGTGGCTGGGGCTGCACGACCTGGGCTCCGAGGGCTCCTGGGTGGACGCGAGCGGCGCGCCCGCCGCCTTCCTGCACTGGGAGACGGATATCACGGCGCAGCCCGACGGCGGCGCTGCCGAGAACTGCGCGGCCATGGCCGGGGCATCGCACGGGCGCTGGTTCGACCGGCGCTGCCGGGACGCGCTGCCCTACGCGTGCCAGTTCGCCATCGTGTAGACCTGCACCCCTGGGTCCCTCGGATCCCTTTGCAAATAAAGTCGGTGCCACTCGATGGAGAGCCGCTGCGGTCTGCAGTCTGTCTGGGGCAGGCGCGATGGGCAGTGCAGCAGCCCGGGCCCAAGAACAGTCTGGGCACGAGGGCGGCGCGCTGGCTGTCGCTATGAGCAGAAAGAGGCAGGGGGAAGGACGGAACAGGGCACTCTGGCCTGCTGTCTATCTTTGTTGTTGTTTTCTAGACAGGGTTTCACTAAGCCATCCAGGCTGGCCTAGAACTCTCCGCCATCCTCCTGCCTCAGCCTCCCACGTGCTGGGCCTACTAGCGTGCTAGCACGCTGGCAACTTTTTATTTCCACATAATTTCAGACCTCCAGAAAAGCTGCAAGGACTTCTGCTTCCCCAGGCATTGTCATTTCATTTGCTTGCTTTGGCCTGTACTACGACAGTAAATGCAGACAGGATGTTTCCCAGAAAGGCAAACCTGTAAAAGCACAACCCACTCTCACAGCCAGGCCCAGCCCTGCTCCCCATTTCCTGGGCAGCATGGCCCAGCCCTGCTCTTGAGCCCAGTGTCTGGGTGCTTTGCTGAGCTGCGTCCAGCAGTGGGTGGAGGAGGAGGCGCAGGGAACAGGTGGCCCTGAGGAGATGTGCCTGGGGCAGACAAGACATCGCCCAAGCTCTCAGATCCCCATCCCTGCCACTCCAGCAAGTTGGGGTGCACATCGGAGTCTGCAGAGGGGTGCCCACTATGAAGCCCACCTTGCTGCAGAGATCTGAATGTGACTCAGTAGAATTCATTCCCTGTGGGGAGATGTCACTGTCATTTTACAGAAAGGGAGAGGAGCTCTGGGAAGCTGTGACCCCCATTGTGGCCGCAGGGCCCAGCTCACAGCTCAGGATTGCCTGCCTGGACCTCCCCGCTGAAGTAGAACATGACAGCGGGAGAGCAGAGACATCACCACCCTCTTGCGACAGTGCGGGGACCACAGCTGCGAGGAGGGCCTGTGACCCATTGAGGAGGGGAGCCAGCGGCCTCCCTGTCCACCCCAGCTCCCTGAGTCCAGCCCTGGACACCCTTGCCCACCTGGGTCTGCATGGCCTGAGCCACACTAGTTCCTACACTGGCGGTGAGTGCGGCCATGTCCAGCAGGTGGCAGTCTGGGCAAGCGAATCCAGACCCTCCAACGTACTGGTGGGTGGGTGGATGTGGGGGCCATTGTCATTTTCAAATTGGGCATGCCTGTCCTCCAATCTTGTAGGGGTTTTTTTTAGGAACCAGGGATTGAACTCAGGTCCTTGAGTTTGCCAGGGAAGCGCTTATTCCAATGAGCCATTTCCCTGGCCCTATTGTAGGGTTTTAAAAAGTTATTTTTGTTATTGTTTTAAGACAGGCTCTCACTATGTAGTTTACTGTGTAGCCCAGGTTGGCTTCCAAATCACAGCAACCCACTTGCCTCAGTCTCCAGAGTATTGGGTTCACAAGCATTTGGCCCCCAGCCTGGGCTCAAACTCTTGGGTTCAGGAGATCCTCTCACCTCGGCCTCCTGACGTTCTTGTCTTTAAGTTTTGTCATTTTTGTTCATCGTAGACTTTTTGGCATTGAGTTTGACTTAAAAATATTGTGTTTGGGGCTAGGGATGTGGCTCAGTGTTAGAACTTTTGCCTGGTATGCACAGGCCCTGGGTTCAATCTCCAACACACACACACACACAGAGTGTTGTTCACATATTACTTATCTTGTTTACTAAATTTTTTTGGTTTTATTTTGTGTGTTTGTAGTACTGGGAATCAAACTGAGGGGTACTATGCCACTGAGCTACATCCCCAGCCCTTTTTATTATTTTTTGAGACACATTCTTGCAAAGTTGCCCAGGGAGGGCCTGAGTTTGCAATCCACCTGCCTCAGCCTCCTAGAGTGCTGAGATCACAGCCGTGCACCCTGTGTGGGGCAGTGAGTCCTCAGGGGCTTCCTCCTGGCTCTGCCCCCTCTGCACGGCTCTTCTCTGGAGCAAAGCTGCAGGCGCAGCCCAGGGCACAGGCTGCATCGGCTTCTCCCACTGTGTCGTCTTCATGCCTCCTTGTACAGGAAAGGCTGGGGAATGCAGGCGCCCAGCGGGGGACCTGGAAATATTGGCATAGGAAATGGGCAAGCAAGACTGGGAACCTATCCTTTAGCAAATCAGTGATTTTGATGTTGACTCTTATTCTATGACTCAAGAACCATTTTTTTTTTTAGATTCTTTTATTAAAATATAACTTATTGGAGCTGGTGAGATGGCTCAGTGGTCTAAAGCACCTATTTGAACAAGCTTAGCAAAGCAAAGGGACCACGGTTCAATCCCCCAGCACCACATGCCAGCAAGCCCCGCCCCCTGGTGGGCTGAGCTGGCCACACACACACACACACACACACACACACAAATAAATAAATAAAAAATTTTTAAAAATATAATTTATTTGGTACAGGTCTGGCTACAGAGCTTGGACTCATAGTGATCTTCCTGTCTCAGCCTCCCCAGTGCTAGGATTACAGGTATGCACAGCACGCCTGAAAGTAGCATGGTATGTGGTACTGAGAATTGAACCTGGGTCCTTGCACTTGCCAGGCACGTGCTGAGACTGCTGAGCTGTCTCCACAGCCTGATTCATTATTTTATTTTATTTTATTTATTTGGTGTTTTGAGACAGGGTCTGGCTGGCCTTAAACTCATTTTGTAGCCCAAATTAGCCTTGAACAATCACAACAACCCCCTTGTCTCAGCATCCTGAATGCTGGGATTACTGCTGTGTGCTACCATGCCCAGCATGAGTACTTAAACTTCAGAGGGGCTGGGGAGATGGCTCGGTGGAATAAGCGCTTCCCTGGCAAGCACAAGGGCCTGAGTTTAATCCCTGGTTACACCAAAAAAAAAAAAAAAAAAAGAAAAAGAAAAAGAAATTTCAGGGCTGGCCAGATAGCTCAGCAGACTAAAACACCTGCTTAGGTACAGTACAGAAGGCTGGGGTTCAATCCCTGGCCTGGGGTTCAATCCCTGGCCTGCTTTGCCAGCCTCACCCCCGGGGCAATTGCGAGTGGGCGTGGTGGCACAGGCCTGTAATCCCAGCACTTGGGAGGCTCAAAACAGAATCACTATAAGTCCGACCTATGTAGTGAGACTGTGTAGACCCTGCACTAAAAAAAAAAAAAGAAAAGAAAAAAAAATTCATTTGATTCAGAAAATAATGTTTAGTTATATTTGTAAAAAATATGTCATAGACCTATAGTTTTTGGGTAAATTGTGTGCTAACATGTGTTGGTCAGCTTTTTGTCACTGTGGCAAATGCCTGAGACAATCACAGCTCTGCGGAGGAAAGGCTGATGCTGGCTCAGTTTCAGAGGCTTCGTTCCATGGTGGGGGCCACGTTGCCTTTGAGCCTGTGGTGGACATGCTGACATGTGTAGGGGTGCAGCAGGAACCCTGTTGTGGCCAGGAAGTTCAGGTGTCCCCTTCAAGGTCATGCCCCCAGCGAGCCAGCTGTGCCTCAAACCTGGAGTGTGGGGCATGGCTAGAAGGTCCTAGAAGTCACCAGAGTCCTATAGTTTTGCCCCCGTGGGGCACTCTGAGCTGTGTCCTCTTCTGTGGTCCCACTACTGTGGGGCCCCTCTGCCACCTGAACCACTGCCTGTCACCCTCCTGTCCTCCCTGCCATGTGCCTCAGCCACACCCAGACCACAGAGCCACTCCCAGGAGGAAAGAAGGCTCTACCATGTTTGCCAATGCTCTCAGTGAATCAAAAGTGAGGCTGGCCTTAGCAGTCCTAAGGTTGGTCTCAGGAAAAACAAGACCCAGGAGGCCCAGCCTGCCGGCTGCTCTTAGGCAGCCCCCATGACGGCTAGGGTGGCAGCTTTGCTGGGGACAGCGTTCTGCCCCGGGTGCAAGGGTGGAAGGCACTGAGCCCCGAGGCAACAGGATGTCCCCCTGGAACCCAGCCCGAGGCAGCCTGGGCCACACCAGGGCAGGACATTGAGACTCTGCTTTGGGCAGAGGAGGAATGGCTGGGGCCCTGCTGGTACCCTGAGCCCCTCAGCCTGCCCAGGGGCCCAAGTGCAAGCTGCCCAGGTCTCCGAGCCTCGGACTTGAATTTGGCTGAAACATCTCCCCTCCAGCACTCCAGCAAACAAGGACGACTTTCTGAGCAGCACCTCTCCGGAGCCGGCCTCTGTCCCCACCTGGGCCACACACGAAGCCCTGAAAGGCCCACAACCATCTCACAGGTGCCCTGCTGCCCCGAGGACCTTGGCCTGCCCTGGGGAGTGCTGGAACCACCTGGAGGTGGCCACAGGGAGGAGGCTGCAGCTGGGCGGGGCAGCTTTCCAGGCCACCCCTTCCCGTCTGTCTAGAAGTTGGCCTCTGGGCCCAACTAGAGGGAGGAAAAGTCTGGCCCAACAGGTCATGCCACTGGGAAGGCAAGGCTTGGAGACTGAACATCTTTGAGGCCAGCGGGACAGAGACACTTCTTCAAAATTCCTTTTATTTAAAAACAAGTCCTGGGCTAGTGAGATGGTTCAGTGGTCTAAAGCACCTACTTAGAACAAACTAAGCTAAGCAAAGCA